CATTGTCACCTGCTTTATTTCGTGTTAAGTGATTAATAAATAAAAACTATTTGAGGGCCTTGAATGTTGTAAAGAAATTTGAAAACTTTTTAATCTTCTCGAAATCAAACCCAAAACGCTAAAGTTTTTTCTTTAAAACATTTTATTCAACTTTCGTTGATTGCTCTCAACGGCGTTTTGTGTCTTTTAAGCCAATAGCTTGTGTTGTCACAGGGAGGGTGCTATAAGGCAAACGGCAATAAGGCAAATTTGTGTTATTTCTCAATTAAAAGTGAAAAGGCTTTATTAATTAAAATACAACTACTTCACTGTTGAAAAATGAAGGCTACTAAATTCGAAGTCTAAACGAAAAATTGGTACATCAACAGGTTAAACGGACGGATATGTTTGTAAAGAAAAAATTAATATGTGAATACATACATATCGAGCCCTAACTGCCAAAATAACGTAAGCAACATTTATTTGAAAATTTTCTTTTTGATGCAGAAATGTATCTAGATAATCGAGGATTATGTCTGCATCAATAAGAAAATTTTGAAAAAAATGTCGCTTACGTTATTTTGGCGGTTAGGGCTCGATATGTATTTAAGTGTATAATTTTGAAAATGCGGGCGCCACCTTGCGCCGCGGTCGTCGTCGCGCTCGCAACCCCGTCCCTCCCCTTCTTTCGCAATTATGCACCGGTGGCATTATAACCGTTTATAAAAAAGAATAATAATAAAATGAGACTAGTTGACTGCCGAAACTGCTTTCTAATGTTCAAGGAATTTGATATTTTTTTTATATATAACACAGGCCAATAAGAAAGGGGGAAAAATTGTTGCGGCAAATGTTGAGCGGTTTTTGATAGACTTTTTTGTGCTGATTACGAATCCGTTAGTGTAAAGTTTCCATCAGCTCCAGTTTTTTGCAAAATCTCAAATATCTGATCTGATGATGAGCGGGTAAACCGATAAAATGAAATGATACAAAAATAATTAAATGCTACAGAGTAGTGGGTTACCTGCGTGTGGATACCGACGTTAGTATTTTGAGCACAAATACTCATTAATATGATAACAAATACTTATAAAGATGAATGCCGTATCGAACTTTAAAACTTTTGCATTAATTTTGCATTTTAGTCTGAACGCTTCGAAAATTGTGTCCCAACCAATGACGTCAACATAAATAAAGAAAGTTTTTGTTTGTTTACATACACATATGTATGTGCATAAAATAAATGTTTAAATGTCTGACGACTGTTAGTCAAGGGCGATTTTTGTACTACACTGTGCAACAATTTTAGGTTCATGGAATCTAACGGGGGGGACGCCACGAACACACGTCGATAGTACCGAACTAGGGTAATAAAAACCTAAGTTAAAAAAAAAAAACATAAATTGCTCCCGTTTAAAAGCTATAGCCCGTCAAAGTAGAGCTATCTTTACCAATTTCTTTGCATACGAACTCTTCATAATAAGCAAAAGCACGAAGCACCTGGAAGGCTGGTCGCCAAAATAGCTTCTAAGCCCACCTGAAGAATTTGTTGGCAAAATAGTAACTAAAATGTGAAAATTTTCGTAGAGAAACATGGCAAAAATATCAAACTCTAGTAAAGGAAATTAAATTTTTTTAAATGCGCAGCAATAGCCAAATTCAGAAAAATACTTTTCTTTGTTAGCAAAATGTGTTGCACAGTGTTGCCAATGCTATATAGTGTGTACATACATACATTTATCTACATATTTATATGTAAGTACATACTATGTACTATCTCAAATTATTTGTGCATATGGAAATGTACTGCATATGGATGCATATAAGTATGTATGTATGTACGTACATATGTAGAACAAATGTTCTAGTTCGTTAATATTTTAGCAAATTTATAGTTAAATAGACAAAAATGTTTGTCATGAACTCAATGCGTGCTTCTATAGGCTGTATACATTCTTATTCACACCATAGCCACCGATCTAAGTGATTTTGTAATTTAAAAAATATATTTGTACGAATCACCATTGTGTAATTTAAGTAACGCTAAAATGTATTATTCACAAGAGTGTTCGTCATAGTAAGTTCAGTGATTAAGTTCGCCTTTTTTTCCAACAGCGTCTGCTAATTTGTATATTCTACGTAAATTTCCTTTTGTTGATATGCGAAATTTTGTTTAACGTCCATGTTAATACTCAGACACGTGTTTAAATAACTTTTGAATACACAATACACAAATCACTTCTTCTTTAGATTCAACCCAATTCGAAGAATAGTTTTTTGAAAATAGTAAACATTATTAAAAAATGTTCAGCGATAACCTAAAGATGCTTCACACAATCCCCTGAGTGTATTCTTTCATATATGGGCTATTCTTACGATTATATATATTTTTTGTCCACTCGCTTATTCCGTGGGATAGCCTTGTCTCATTTAAACTTAAAAAAGGAAATTATTTCACTATTTTAATTTTTAATGTCTTAATAAGAAAAGGTCCTATAAAGAAAACATCGACGGCTTAGTGGAAGATCGACCTATCTCGACCTAACCGGTTCGAAAACGCCCTATCTCAGAAAACTTTTCAAGAACGCACCAATTCAGAATTTGTTTGAAGAACGTCCTATCTCAGAATTTAGTTAAAAAATTGCCCTATCTCAATTGAAAATATATTGAAATGTATCACGTAAAACATTGTGATTATTGTAAAAAATAAAAGTGTACCATTTACGTGAGCGCCACTGTATTTATGGATTGCCCCAGTTTTCAAGGGGCTAATGAAATTATGTGCATATTTATGAATACATATTCAAAAATGTGTAAAAGTACATATGTATGTAGGTATGTACGATTTTTTGGCACTCTTGCACTTGGCTAACAAAAAAAAAGTAGATAGTTAAATTAAGGAAAAAACCAGAGCGATACATACCTGTGTAAATTACTACGAGTATACATATGTATGTATGTATGTATGTACATAGATATGTGTATGACATAAGTGCAAACATATGAGCGCTATGACGTGTATGTAAGCTAGCGCCGAAAGCAGAAATGAGATTATGCGAATAATCACAAATATTTACTACGTGGCATAAATAAATGAGCGACAAGCCAAATTTGAATTGAATGAGTCAAAACAGATCAGATGATTATTGTTTTGTTTGTTTGTAGTGCAAGTTGACTTTGTTGTTGTATGAATGTACATATGTATGTATTTCTTGATACAATGGCGCTTTATTTGTAAATATTCTACATTTATTTTATATATACTTATGTTATCAATTTGACGCTAAGTTATACCTATGTACACATGTATGTATGTACATACATATGTACTATATGTATCCTCGTTAACTGTTTATGGTTTATGTTAACCGTTTCACGTGAGCCACCTATGGAAAAATGTCTATACATATGTATGTAATGGAATTTTATATTCAGCTTTCTTTTTATAAATAAATTAAGAATCACAAGTTAAATAAAAAAAGAAGACACCTTAAGACGGAAGAAACTTTGATCATGCCACGGTCGCCGAAAAAATAGTATTATGTTTCTTGTGGCTGACTGTCTGTTTACTTGCCGGTCGCTAATCTTGTATTCTTCGCTAGCGTATTGTTAACTTTTGCCGACGTCGCGGTAATTTGCCAAGTAGTTGATCGTATTCACGATCATTGCCAAGCTACTCTCTCACTCTCTTTGCAAAATAAAATTAATTAATAATGAAATAAAAAAATATGGATATGTATAGTGTAGAACTGAGTAGAAAATTTCGCTATTGGCTCGCATTGCCTTCTACGTACGTACATATGTATGCAAGTACATACAGTGACTCAAACAACTGTACACATATTGTTTTTTTCTTGTACAATGTTTTTCATGTTGATAAAAAATATGGTTCATGTTTAAACCAAAACCATTAAAATCAAAGTTTCAAATTTAATACAAAATTTAGAAACATTCAACAAATTTTCATAAAAAATTGGAACTTTTTAATTTGAATATGCAGTTTTATAGCTCATCATATTTTAGTACAATAAAGTGCAAGTCTTAGGCAGTTGAATAATCGTGTAAATTTTAAATATTTTTTTTTTGTTATTTTTGTATGGGCGAAATTCCTAAGTATTTCGTTTGCTGGGTTGCGATGGAGTAAAAAGGTGAAATGTTTATGAAAAAAAAATGTAAAGAAAAATATCTAACAAAAAATTTTAACTTCAAAAACATTGTAAATATTTAGGAAAACCTATATGTGAACACTTTTTTGCGTCACTGTATGCATGTATGTACATATGTACGTGTCACAACCTTTTTCAGCGTATTTTGCCTGCATGTTGTAGCATGTATACAGTAGTATGTACATTAGGGTGGTACAAAAACAGTAAAGTCGGAATTGTAATGCTCTCACCCCCTAGGATTGTTCTATATCGAAAAAAAGTGTACCCCTATTTTTTTTATTTGAAAAAATAAAATTTTTCGTTGAAATGGTATAGAATTCTTGAAAATCAATATTTTTCGATCGGAAAACTTTGGTTCTTTTCAGGAGACTTTCAATAATAATACCCAATTGTTTATTTAACCATTTTCTAATCCTAACGTCCTATTGCTTTTTTCGGGGTTTGTGTGGGTTTGTGGCGGACCTAGGAATTATAGGTGCGACGAAAAAATTGTCAAATAAAGAATTGGGTATTATTATTGGGAATCTCCTGCAGATAAACAAAGTTTTCTGGTAGAAAACTGTTGATTTTTAACTATTCTATTCAATTTCTACGAAAAGTTGTTTTTTCCCCATATAAAATACATGGAAAACTTTAAGCGCTTTGAGCGACCTCTAAATATTTTTTGATTTCAAAATAAAAAATAGGGGTATACTTTTTTCGGTGAGAGCATTACAATTCCGACTTTACTGTTTTTTGGACCACCCTAATGTACATACTATACATATGTATGTATATGATTATAATTTAGTACATACATATGTACATTAATTTTCATTGCCTTTCCGCCGACCAATTTACTAACTCAACCAAAGCGTCCGTCGTTCAGTGCTTTTTCACTGTTGCTTTGCTAATGTTCACTCGCGAACAGCGCTCGTCCGTCGTCTTGTCTGCAACATAAACGCAACAAAATCGTAAAATTTTTCGTACACAGCTTATTTGAAAGAAATATTTGGCACTGTGGTGAAAGCAATTGAGTTTAATTGAGATTTTGCTTGCGCTATAGTATCTTCTACGCAGTATTATAAATTTAGAAAATTTTAAACAATTAGGAAAAGGAAAAAACTTTCGTACAAACAAATAAATAAATTAAGAAACATCTCGTTTTTTTTTAATAAACAATCAACAATAAATAAAAATATATTCCTTCAGAACAAGTGGCGTACAATATATGTACAGAAACAACAGCTACTTGGGGCAAATTGAGTGGCCAGACTAAATTTAGTAACAATTGTGACGTTTAAGCAAATAAAACGTGTTTATTTACATCTTGACATCGCAGCACGCAGCGCACTTGGATTTTTTAGTGTGACAAAACAGTGAAAGGTAGATACATGCATGCATACACACATACATACATATGTATGTACATACCCATGTATGTTTGTATGCACATAGTATATACAATATATGACCGCAAAAAAAAATAAACAAAATAAAAAAAAATGTTATATGAAACGAAAATTACTTAATTTATTAAATGTATATACTATACAATTGAGGTAAAAGTTGTCACTGCATACAAATTTATTTCAAACTATGAATAAAATGCCAAAAAAAAAGGAATTTTTGCAAAAAAGTAGTTTTTTAACCAATAAAGTGTAATTTATTATAAAAATCTGTTTGCTTCTGGAAAAATTCGGGTTCGTTCTGAAAATTTTCAATATGAAGAGAAAACTATCCTTTTCTTCGGTAGGGGGCGTATGAGTAACTTAAAACATGTATCTTGATCTTTTGAATCAAAATGTAATTTTTCTTTTCAAAAATAGTATATTGTACTATGAAATAAGGAAAATCAACTACGTCAGTATTTTGGTATTATTTATGTGTTCCAAACTTCTGTAGTTGTCTTTTTCAAAAAATTTTTTTTTTTGGATTTCTTGTAATCAAATGCTTCTAAAAAATAACGAGTTTTTAATAAGTACGGCTAGGAATTTCATTCACTCAAAATTCAAAAATATTCGCTATAAACAAGTAAAATATGCAGTTAAAAATACTTTCCAAATACTTTATTGCCGGTAAAAAAAAAATAAATAAATAACACATGTATTTTAACAAGAAAATAACAAAAAAAAATTAATTTCAAAATAAAATACATATTTATATATAAAACTAGTTTATAATCAAGCAGACATCTCGTTTAAATAGAAACATTAACAGTTTAATAAAAAAACAGGTATTTTTTTTGCATTAAAATATCAGTTGCTAGTATGGAAAAAAGATGCAAAATCTACCTGAAAAGCAAACTGGCAGTATTATAGTTATAGCCTTCCCTGCTTCTTCTTCTTATTTGTCTCTACAATTCCTTCACTGCAGGGTACCTTAAATAAATACATATGTATGTATGTATGTTTGCATACGCATTGGGAATTCTTAAAGAAAAATACCTACATAAATATGTGAAACTGAAATCCGGCTCTTATCAATTCTAAATGCTTAATAATGGTGGAGTAGTTTTATTCGCGTCGGAAATAAGCGAGCTTTTTTTATGACAAAGGAAACGACTATGTAGACGATCTTTGAAATGTAATAATAAGTCATTAAAAAAAATAGTTCCAAGTTCATGACTGTATTTAATTTTTTAACGTAAAGTTTATAATTGCTTTATTATATAACCTTTCTTATTTTTAATGTAGCAATCTGAACTTTGTCAAACATAATGGACGTGGTGGCAATGAAATGTGACAACCCAATAAACATTTGGGTTGGAGATCAAGTCGAGATCCAATAAAAATTCCAAGGTCCAATGTTGATTTTCAAGTGCACCTCAATTGGAGAACCAACCCATTCTCCAACAAAACGGCACATTTTTTGTATGGGAAATAATCTGAGTTCTCCATTTGAGACAAGTTTGGATATCAATTTGAATTCAAACTTTATTCAACTTTTAGTCAAACCTTGGGAAAAATGTTGGAGAAAAATGTTGGATCTCGACTTGGGAACGTGAATATTTATGTATATGTATGTATGCACATTAGGGTGGTCCTAAATTGCATGTGGAAACAAAGTTAAGTCCGAATTTTAGTGCTCTCACCTGCTAGGATCCTCCTATATCGAAAAAAACATACCTTGGTTTTTTTTATTTCGAAATCAAAAAATATTTAAGGTCGCTATTAACGATTGCATTTTTGGATGTTTTTGGAGGACCAATGAAAATTGTATTAAAAAATGGTTGAATAAAAAATTGGGTATTATTATTGGAGGTCTCCTGAAGAGGAACAGAGTTTACCGATCGAAATATATTGATTTTCAAGATTTCTATGCCATTTCTACGAATTTTTTTATCTTTTGATTCTAAAATAAAAGGCAGGGGTTGCGGTATAGACCACCCTAATGTACATAGTATACATATATTATGTGTGTATTTAAAGGTGGAACGAATTTGGTTCTAGTTTTTGGCACTCTACAACTAGAAATTGAAAATCATTTAAAGAAGTATAGAATACAGTGATCGGACTTCTACCACATTGTGGTAGATCTGCCACTTTTTTCAGCATCTACCACATCTACCACACAAGGTCTGAAATCTAACACATATTCGCGTTTTTGAGTAGTTTTATTTTTGCTCGACATAATTTTCTTAACTTTAAGAGCAAAAATTGTGCAACACTTAACACTTACAACAGGCAGAATGGAGGATAAAATAAACCGTAAAATAGTAAATTTTCTCAATATTCAATTTTTCGACAGGAAACGTCGTTTTATTGTGTTAAATTGCAAAAAATATGTTTTATAAAAATGAATTAATAGCGAAAATGTTAAAAAATGGCGATTTTTGTGAAAGTGTTAGCAAATTTCAGTGCATCTAAAGTTTCTAAAGCGTTGTTTACTTTTGCTTGAGAATTGTCAAAATCGGCAAATCCCAAGTAGCGGTTTCTGGAACGTGCCACATTTGTTCGTTACATCGTGATGTGGTAAAAAAAAGCTGGCAGCACTCCGCAAGGTTGCAGAAATCTTTCAAAATATGTTCGAAAAATATCTTGATATGGAAAGAACTGCTTTACATTGTCAAGGAAAAAAATTGTCAAAGGTCAACGCAATTTTTAGCAATTTCAATCTTGCACTTCATTATAATAAAATTATTTTTTTTTTTTAGATTCTAATTAAAAGGTTTGCAATTTAGGTGAAACCTCGCAGAATTTTTTAAATTTTTGTACAAAGTTTGATCAAAACCTGAGATCTATCACATTTTTTCCAGATTCTAACACACAATTTTTTTTTAAAGTCCGATCACTGATAGAATACCTAAATTTCAGTGGAAAACAAACAAGCATATTAGAGTGGTCAGTTATTGGATTTTTTTTTCAAAATAAAAATTATCTATTCTTAAACGCATTAATGCAAAGCATCAGTTTTTTTTTATTCCTAAATCATGCTATATAATGATATCGAATATGCGCAACCATAAATAATTGCCAATTTTTTTATTTTAACAAAGTTGCTCAAACCGGAAACTTATCTCATGTGGTTAAGAAATAAAAGAAACTGATGCTCTGCATTGATACGTTTAAGAAGTTAGCCTTCCTCTGGTTCAATGAAAAATTAAGAAATAAAAAGAAAAAAAGATCATCTAATATACTATTATTTTTTTCTGGCAATGATAATATGTATAAAAAAATTTTAATTTGTAGATAGTTTTTGTACTAAAAATAAAACAAGCAAAACTGAGGAGATCAAATCAACAAGTTCAATATTTTGTATACATTTGTAAATTTAAATATATTTATATGCAAATACATACGTATGTATGTATATACATTAGGGCGGGTCGAAAAACTCAATATGTTCGATACGAAAATTGTATATGTTGGTGTTAAAAGGTGCTATTTTAATCCCTTATAGGCGGCATATACGATGCGTCTGACTCGTGAGTCGGTTTGGATGTATTTGTGAAAATAGATATGTGTTAGGTTGGTCCCATACAAGTGGCATGTGCATGAGAAATTTTTAACAATAAATTGGCGGCGTGCGTGAATATTAGGTTAGCCTGTTACACCAACATGACTGTCGTCATGACTCTGAATGATTCAACTGTGTGTAGTCGAAGGCGAGTCAACACGTACACAAATGACTAGCGAGTCAGACGCACCGTGTATGTAAAGCAATTCTGGTTCTCTGCGACAATGTCTTCAGTCTGCGAACCTTTTAACACCTATACAATTTTTTTTCGACCCGCCCTAATATACATACCCCTTAATACCGCTTACTAGTAAGTTACTATTGTTTTTTATAGAGTCCTTATCTAACGGAATGCACTAGAAAAGACTACGCATACATCGTATATAAGATAAGGCCGCTGCAGCAAGATCTGTAGTCATACTTGGGGGCACCGCCTACTTAACTGACTCAGAATTTGCACACTGGCATTCGATATCGGTAATTATTATTACTTTTTTGACTGTTATATGCGGCAATTAATAGCACTTACGAACGAAATTTTTATACATACATATGTATGTATTTATGTACATGCGATGTGGTACTTTGTTATGACTCTGCTGATATTATTATTTTTTTCTTAAATACTCATATACCAACATTTGGAAAATGAGGTTTGAGCATCGGTTTCTATGAAGCAGTCCCAATGTGCCCCGGCAAGGAAAGTAAATACAGTGACTCAAACAAGTGTTCACATATTGTATTCACAATGTTTTTCAAGTTAAATTTTTTTTTTTAATTTCCTATAAAAATATCATCCAAGCTTTAGCCAAAACCATATAAATCAAAGTTTCGAACTTTATAAAAAAAACTTTTGGAAAATTAAAAAAAAATCGAGTTGATTTTTGAGAACTTTTTTTTGGGTGACTGCTTTGGCTTTATGTTATACTGTGCGACAGCCGAAACCAGCCCGGACTTGGTTAACATTTGCTGAAATTATACCCATCCAGTAGTAAAACACTTGATAGATTTGCAAAAGTAGTTTTAAAAAAGTGGAAAAAATGGTTTAAATAAATGTTTGTGCGAAATTAAAGGTTAATTTCATGGGGAATATTTTCTATGCTAACCTAATATTCCCGCACGCCGCCAATTTACTGTCGAAAATTTCTCATGCACATACAACTTGTATGGGACCAACCGAAATTGAACGGCGTGCGTTTGAAGCTAACGCAATTCCAAATTTTTATTCTGCGTGACATTTTGATTTGACGTTTCGCTCAATGAAATCAAATGCAAACGTACGCAAACCAATTTCGGTTAACGCAGAAAAATAAATTCCACGGCGTGCGTACCAAAACGCAAATAATTTTCTAGAATATTTTAATACTCTAACGACTTTCCAAATTGGCTTTTTGTGAGGTTTCTTGAAGTAAGGCTTAAAACGACCCATTCAGGTGAGAGGTAAAGGCTTAAAATATTCTACGAAAATATTTTCCATAAAATTTGTTTAAATATTACCTTCGATTTCGATCAGACATTTATTTTAATATTTTTTTTCACTTTTTAGAAAACTACTTAGGCCGCGACATGAAAATGTTAGTAGGCCATAAAATAAACATACGAGCAAACTTTTGCAAATCCATCGAGTGTTTTATATTGGATATGTATACTTTCAGAAAATATTAGTAAAGTCCGGGTTGGTTTGAATTGTCATAAAATTGTCGCACAGTGTTATCAGCTGACTGCCTCCGTTTGTTTTCACCACACAATTTTGGTGTATTGTTTGTGACTTTCTCCTACTGAATATGCAAATCGTCACAAGTCACAAAAATTGTCACTAGTTTATAGTCGCAAATTAAGTGACTAGAGATGAGACTGACTTACTGAATACCAGCATTATTAATCTAACTTACCGAAAAATATTCAGCAACAGTAAAGCAAATGCAAGCATTTATTTGTAAAGTTTAAGAAATTTTTGATTTACTTGATTCTGACCGTTTTTTGAGCATATTATTCCCACTGTTTTTCCGTTGCGAATTTCACCAAAATACTTGGTCAAGCGCATAAAACCAAAGCATTGATATTTATGTATTAATTTTCGCTCTTTTTTTATTGCAGGGCATTTTATTTGAATCGCGCAAATAAAAAGAAAACAAAAACACCAACAACTTACGATATACATACATATGCACAACTATTGTCTAATTGCTGCTTGATCGTTGAGACATCGCTGTGACCGCGTTAGTTTCAGCAATTGAATCTCTTCACTTAAAGCCACATAAATAAAAATTTACGCTTTAATAAAACGCAATTGCTTGGCGTACACGCTCCTCAATCAGCTGCTGCTTCACTTCCAAAGAGGAAGTCTACAGAAAAATATTCAAAACTGAAGTCGACATCCGGTGCGCGTTTTACGACCACGTCATCAGCTTCAACTTCAGCATTGGCATCATCATCCTCATCCTTCCTATCATCGCTTCTCGCCCACATTATAGTTGAATCGTTGCTGTTATTCCTTTAAACTATTTTGCTGCTGCTATGGCATCGTCATCAGTGCTCGCTAACAATCCAATTTCGACACTAGCATCACCGGTTGCTGTTAATTCCTCGTCGTCGCCGTCGTCGACGACTACGACTACCTCACCTACTCCAATTTCAACACGTAAACGCACCTACGAGACTGCAATCTCAATGCCCGCTGTGGCAACAAAAGCTAGAGGAGCAACAGCAGCTATAGCAAAGGCATCAATTGCCAACAAAATGAATGTGAATGGCAATGATATTGCCCTTAGTGATATATATGTGGATGGTGTTAGTACCGCCACTAATAATGCAATAACAAACAAAGATTATACACGCACAGTTTCACAATGCGAACCAGACGAGGAGGCCTCTGGTTCGTCATCGGTATATTACGATAGTCCAGTGAAAAGAGAGTATGTGCCGACACCACAACCGCTGCCGTCGATCAGCAGTGGCGCATCAGATCTTGCAGTAAGTGTGCACAGTTATTTTTATAATTTATTGATATCGAGGGATCTCAATTTAAAATGTTTTAAAAGTTATCAGAAGCACGTTTTAATAAAAATTTGTTTAACAATTTATAAATCGAAAAACTGTATGAAAGTTTCGCGAAATAACCTCTCTCTCTCTCTCTCTACCAGAATCTACCAGTTTCTGGGGTCTTTGTGATCTCGCAGGGTGGCTCAAAAGCTTTGGAAAGTTCCACACTTTTACTGAACTGATATAGACTCCTCATAGGAATACTATAAGAGTACTATAGTACGCTAGCCCATCTCTTATGGGAATATGCAGTGGAAACTACTATAAATTCGCAACCAAGGCTATTTAGGTGTCGAGATATTCTGCAAATGCAAACAGATCGAACTTGAAGGCATAGTGGAAATTATGATTTAAGGCTAATTGCATGGAGTTGGCAAACAAAATATAGGCTACAGAACCGATGTGTATGGTAACACGCTAAATTTGGTCGAAGCTACATAAAAAACCCAAGCTCTTATAAAATTGGAATGCTCCCAAAATCAGCTAGCAATTGAACCCATTACGCGCAACGATCTTATGGGGGCCTTCCGGCGCGTTATTAGTGACACAGTTTTAAGGGTCTGCTCAGACTTAGTCGGCGATGTCTGCATCAGTTTTTTGCGACTGTTTGTCGAACCAAAGCTTGACGAAAATATTCGTACTAAAACACCCCTTGAGAAAAAGTAACTGGTCCTTTTTCTAAGTAAACAGTCGGAGTCAACATTGACTAAGCTTTTCAGTACTGGTTTAAACGAAGTTTAATTAAACTAAGTTTAAATTCAAACTAAGTCTAAACTACTGAACACTTTTTCAGTGCGAGTTTATGGCCGCTTCATAGTTTACGTAGCCGGTCCAAAACCAGCGCACAACTCACTGTTGGCTCGGAGGTGGTTTCGCAATCGAATACACGTTTATATAGCGAGCCGCTTGCTCCAAGACAGACGCCCGCTTGCAGCTTCAACTACTGGTAAACAGACGCTGCAGACTTCAGTGAGCCATTAAACCGAATAGGTCGGAGTGGCCTCATCGTAGCTCTCTCCCTTTCAGCCGTGACCCAAGGCCCCACTCGGATTGGTTACCGCATCTCGCATAGCGGCTGCTCATGAGTCCGGATTGAGTACAGCCGTTAAACTGTAGCTTCATATCCAGAACAACGACTATACCGCATTGCACTTCGTAATGGTCGGCGATTTTTACGCTATTTCTTGTTGCCTGAATCAATTTAATAAAAGAAAAAGTATACCCGGATAATATATAAGCATACTACGGACATAAAGTGTTATGCCGCCTCCGAACGGCAGATGGGTTTGCCTTTGCCTACCAAAGGACGATCACGTTTTCTATTATTCGTGAAATTTTGCGTGGGCTACTCGTCGAAACTGAGTCCTATATATAATTTATATTTTGATAATTCTTCAATCGATTAACTTTCGCCAATCCGTTCCCCGTGTTTCTACTAAAAAAGATAGAAGAAAAGTCGTGTGACTGCCGCTTTTATTGCGATTTTTAAATTGCCCATAGATATTTCAATAAAAGTTTAATTGATTCCAGTGAGAAGAGAATTAGTCTTTATTTATAGATATGTACATAAATGTTATGTATGCAATGGTTACGCATCAAATATTAAGTGATCGTTTATTTATTTTCAATTAAAGACAACGTTGTCTACCTATGCGACGCAAACACAATTGGGATAACTTTGAATTCCACATGATTCCTTGATGACATTTATACGCCTACCTATTGCTAACACAAATAAAGATCTAATAAATCACTACCTTGCCTGTATAGCAGTAACCGTGCCAAGCCTAATAGTAGTTCCCTTTTATTGTAGAGATGTGCAACTTATCTGCCATTCACATCAATTTCATTTTGCTCATTTTTTCGATTGTACATCCAAAGCATAAATAATAAAAATAATTTTGCAAGTTCTGAATGAAAAGAGTAACCCGGAGTAGTAAAGAAAAATGCATACAAACCTGTATAAAACCAAGTGGACTGTGCATAAAAATAGTCATTCGAGGATTAAATCGCGCGCAGTGAATACAGTTATGTGGTTTAAAATGCATGAAAACTACTAATTTCGCGATTAGTTCCATTAAGGCAATCGTGCAATCGTCAACGGCTTAATTGAATGGAATAGGCAAAGCCGAATCGTTGTTCTGCTAAGCGATTTGTTAATTTGTAACTTGAGTGATTTGTTAATGTTTTGACGTGAATGCTTGTATATGTATTTAAAGTGATATTTCTATACCTTTGTGTACACCTAGAATACCCTATAGAGAAATCCATTCAAATTTTTTGAATTTAATGCGTTTTTAATTTATCCCTCACAATCTGATTTTTCCTGATCGCAAAAATAAAAATCATAAATTATCAAATTTTAAGGATTAAATTATAATTTCATTCGTAACCGTTACGAACGCTGGAAAATAATGATTATAATATTGTTGAAAAAATATAAATACGATGAAAAATGTATGGAAAAAATAAAAATCATAAAATAACGGTTAAATTTAAAGCTTAGTTTCCAGCTCTTAAGAAACCGTTCAAGAAAAAAATTGGCATTATTTCGTGTGTGTGAGCAAGGAATTTTGACATTTGATATTTCACAGCCCTCTCACTCTTTCCTCAAGAAATAATGGAACGGGCATATATTTCTGTTGCAAACATGGGTTACCTTGTGCTATTTTTTCACAAAATACTTTAGAAAACCGTACATAGTAGAAAGTTTGGCAAATTTCTTAAGAATTGGGTACTCCCTTAAGGAAATTTGACACAAGAAAATTTCTTGTCCATTTCTTTTGCGTCATTTTATATGGAACTTTTGATTTTCTTGAAAGCAGGATACTAAGCATAGCCGAAAAAATAGAAGTCCAATATTGTTATAAATTATAATTTTTATATAACAACTTCATAACCGATACGGTCGCTGAATTTTACCATTTTTAACAGGTAACAAACGTTTTGAAACCGTTTTCGCATTCGGTGCACTGTGGTCGTGAAATATGCAATGCCACAATTTCTGCTGCTGGATTGTTGAAAATATGGTGAAAATGGTGAAAATTTTTAGTAATACAACTTTTCGGTTACTAAATGATCGGTAACGTGCAGAATAAACCTCACAAGAAAAATAAAAACAAAGACAAAATACAAAAAATGCTTATTGATATTAACAAAATACATTTTTGTATTAAAAATACATACAATCCTCATCGCAAATATCTCAAAAATGTTCTCAAAAATACCTTTCATTTTATACCCAAATTGCGTTGTTTTAGTTAAATTTGGTATCATCAAAAATAAGTGGCATCCTTTTTCTAGTATCCTAACAAGGTTAACAATTATTTAGTATGTAAGCAAATCATTCCAAATAGGTGCCCACCCTATTCAAAAATATTTATAGTTTGGGGATTTTCAAAATACCTTTCTTTTGATACCCATATTGTGATGTTTTATTTAATTTCCAATTTATTTCGAATAGGTGGCAACCTTTAACGAATATTCTCGGAGGTAATACATATCTAGATAATCTTACAATGCAAAACATTGGGCCGTATGAATAAAAACTAAGCAATTGCTTTTTCTTAAAATTTCATACCTTTTACTTCAATTTTGTTCGAATAAATTGAGTAAATGAACTGAAATTTTAAGAAAAAGCAATTGCTTATTTTTATTCATACGGCCCATTATCTGTATACAAATTTAATTTAAATCGTTAGAGCCGTTTCCGTTCCGTATATATATAGATATATATAGATATTTTACTATTGAAATCTTCCCTACAGGGCATGCATTTAACACACGATTGCCGTGAAAAATGCATCTACAATAAAACGTAAATAGTGCAAAACGAAATTTACAATAATAACAATTATCAAATAAAAATGTCACGCCATTTTCAACTTGATGCTTTTGTACACCTACCTAAGAGCAAATACATACATACATATGTACTTATCTAACTACATACATGCACACACAAATGTGAATATCATTGCGTTCCCTGCAAAAGATTATATTTAATATAGAAAGACCCTATCTCACATTGTTCCCATTTTCATTGATTATAATGCATTTCATCGAATTATAACTTATAATTTATAAGTCCCCACATCATTTTAATCAAAAACAATTTTTAGTCAGTTAAGGATTTTTTTTTGTATTTCAGCGACTATTTGAGTTAGGGCCTTTCTATACTAAGGTAACGATATATACATTGTATGTACAGTGAAAAGCAGTTAAGCGGACAAATTAATAATAATAATAGTAGAATGGCGCTTACACAATATGTTAATGTTTGGCCGAGCTTCTCCTGAATTTTCATTGTGATCTATTGCCAGCAGACGATATGCAAAAACAAGGTTTTGATCTCCCTCTGCACATGTGCGATGGGTTATATATTTTTTTTTTTATATATTATGTGTTTTTATAAGCGTCAAACACGAAACTATGACTGTAACTGGTGTTTAATTTAAAATTTGGACAAACTAGACCACTTAATCAAATTTTTTTTATTGGATTAACGATTAATGATTAAAATTAGTTAATCGTAATCACAACTGACGATTAACGATTACAAAAAAATTAATCATTAATCGTACAGATGATTACGATAACATTTTAATCGTTAATTTTTAATCATTAATCAGATTAACATTTTGCCAACACTTATGGACTAAAAGTATGTGAGTGTTCGTTTGTTTGTGTAATGCTTATTAATTTTTTTTTTATAAAGGTCTAGCTCATTATATAACCAACGCCATAAACAGTGGCGGAAGCAAAAATAGAAACTTTTTAATTTTGACCAGTTTTGGCTATTTCTTTTGTTTATTCGATGTTTATTATTTTTGGAAACCTGTTGTAAAAAACATATGGAAGTTATTGATTGATAAACGGGCTCACTTCTTTAAAAACATAAAGGAAAGTCAGCAATGGCAAGTATAATAAAATTTTCTTTAAAACGGCAGAAATTTAACTTTAAAAATTGCTAAGAAATATATACTGATATGCATAAACTAAAATAACAAACATACAAGATTTTCACATAAAATAAAAAAATAATAATTGTTTACAATTAATTTGTATTTGATTATTTTTTTTTATAATGCTAATATTTTGATAATGATCTTGATGGAATGTTATAATTTTTTTTTTATTGCTGTTGGATTTATTTCAACTTACCTAAAAAAATGGATTTTATCTTGTTTGCCGCAACGATTGTCTCGTGTGGAATCCACATTAAAAATGACTATCGAGTGCCTTCTTTATTTGTAAAGTTTATTTGAAAAGTTGTCAGAATTCTCGCATTTTTTGTCATAAATTCAATAAAACAAATAAAAGGTTTATGAACGCATTCGCACGCCAATAAAGTTACATATTTACTAAATAATTTATCGATTATTAAAATTTCATAAAAGTAGCAACTTACAAAATCACCAACGCCAAAAAAGGAATTGTCTATTTTACCATTCAATTAAGTCAAATCAAATCGTAGTCCGAAAAAAAACGCAAACATATTTTGAAGGCGTCAAAAAAAAAAATTGCTGAAAGGATGACAACAAAATTGGTATCCGCCAAACCAGCGGTCATTAAAATGTTACCAATGCAAATGGATTTTAAAGAATTTGTAAATGCATTTTTGTTTTACTATTTTTTTGTTTCACTACAAATTTCTGTGCGGAAAGTGTTTTACCTCGAAAATAGTATTTTCAACCATTACCTTTATTGTATTTTTTATTTTTGTAGACAATTTGCAAGCCCGCACCTCTGTCCACAGATGAAGAGGCCGTTGTGGAGCGTGAGAAATGTGATTACAACTATAAAATCACCTATCAAATGGCGCGTTCGGGCCAGACGAAACGACGCGTACGTGTCTACGCCGATGGCATTTATGACCTCTTCCATCAAGGTCACGCCAGACAGCTAATGCAAGCAAAGAACATTTTTCCGAATGTTTACTTAATTGTGNATTTTAATTGATTTTCTTATATACATACATAGATTGTACCGGATGCACCTTGGACTCTATCGGACGAATTTATTGAATCGAATAAAATTGATTTTGTTGCACACGATGACATTCCATACCTTGGTAATGGTGTGGAGGATATTTACGCACCACTGAAGGCTAAAGGCATGTTTGTGGCCACTGAACGTACGGAAGGTAAGAGAGTTGAATTGCTTTTAGCCTCTTCTGCATTATGATTTCTGCGCGTTGATATGCCAAAATAAGGAAAGCTTGGTAGAGATATCCAAGAATCGAGATTGTCTTACTACATAGAACCTATAAATTCGAAAGTATGTTAATGTCTACAAGAAGTAACTGCTCTTAGAAAAAATATTTCTATTCCACCTACCTAACTGATATCCGAATTGGGAATTGTTAATCCTCAATTATTCTTTGTTTCTAAATCTGGGGCACCCATCCATGCGCTTAATTTTTTAACAGTCCAAAGGAATCGAGGTAGTCATAGACAGAAGTACGGCTCTGTGAAACACCTGAGAGGAGAGGGTTTGCACGGGAACCACACTGGAATTAGTGGGAAGATGGGCCATTGCCTTGCATATGTGGGCTCGGCTTTAGATTCCTTAGAAACCGTCAGCTATAGAAGAGATCCAGATGGTACTCATTTACTGTTAACCGAGTTTTCCAACACACAACTGCAAGTTGATTAGTTTCGAGAAGTTAGAGGGACATGGGCTCCATCGGCAACTTCTGTGATCACAAAAGCTTGAGACAATGTTGATGGTGTTGTGGTTGTAACAGCATACAAATTTCCCAAGCAGTTTTGGCGAGTTTTGCAGAAGTGATAGTCCTTGTCCAGATATTACGACTACATCGTTCCGGCTACGTAGAAACGACTGTTGTGTAAACGAAGCAGATCTTATTGGAGCTCGTCAAAACTATAGGTGGAACTTTTAATTGTAAAATTTTGCAAGTGACATTTCGCTAAGGACATGCGTCGAGCATTTTTAACTTCTGTTAATTTTATTTTTAGACTAAGCTAAAAATTCATTTATATTTTTCTTTCGTTTTATTCAATCAGGCGTTTCCACATCGGATATTGTGGCACGCATCGTCAAGGACTACGATTTATATGTACGCAGGAATTTGGCGCGTGGCTATTCGGCCAAAGATTTGAATGTATCATTCCTTTCGGAGAAGAAGTTTAGATTTCAAAATAAAATGGATGAACTGAAGGTACGCGGTCGTCGCGAATTGACCAAAGTGAAGGATGATATCATTACAAAATGGGAGGAAGCATCACGTGATTTTATCGATGCTTTCCTTTTACTTTTTGGACGCGAACGTCTCAATCATTTGTGGAACGAATCGAAGGGTAAATTAATACAAGCGCTTAGTCCACCTGGCAGTCCCAGTGGTTCAGTGAATGGCGATGACGAAGATGTTGATGATGGTGATTTCGAGGAGGATACTGATTTCGCAACTGTACGCATACCGGCCAATATTGCGCGGAGTCGTGCACTTGATAGTCCTACGGTACGCCGTAGCAGCGGCCGTGGAACAACTTCGAATTTTGCCGCCAGGGCAGCCAGGTTAGTCGAACAAGAAGAAAATGATGGTGATGATGATGATGAGGATGGCGGCGAATATGAGCATAGAAGTGATTAGAGCAAATTATATAATATGATACCCAAATATTTCGTAGGTAATATTATTATTATTGTAACGCAAATGTGCGAAAGGGAAGAGAAAAATAAGAGTTAAATTAAAACGAAACACAATTATTTGCAGACATTTGTGTGTCTATGAGAACTTTTCGTCAATGATGAAGCATAAATTTGTTAAAACACACGAATTATACATACAAACATAAATCAGCTGAGTTGTGCTAGTGAAAGTATCACATTGACTATGGGTTATCCGAGTCGATTCCGGATCACAAAAAAAAAAAAACAAAAATTGAATTAGACATCAAATGCGCTGTGGTCGGGTGTGCACATCATATTTTAATCAGCTATACTTGTAAATGATTCGACGATAAACCGCCAACCAATTTCAGAACGAGAAACAGTAGCAACAAGAAATGCCACAAAATACGATGCTATTTATTCTACAATTTCTAAGTAGTTTAGTCTATGATCACTCCTTAGGTTAGTTTTTCATCCATTTAAATATACATACTTATTAGTACATGAATACTTATTAATTTACAGTTTATTTATGCTTGCGTATATACTCGTACACGAATGGTCAACGAAATATATAAGGGCATATTAGTGATTTAGTAAAGAATTTCGGGATATATTTTTTTCGTGTATTGTAAACTTTATAAAATGAGTCTTTGGAAAAATATTGTTTTTTTTTTTTGTGTTTAAGGAATGAATATAAGGATTGATTGACTCGGTTCTTGCAAACTGCTTTTCAAAAATTATTCGTTATTTTTGGAATAACCCGAAAGCGGTTTTAAACACAATTGAATACAAAAAAAATGCAAATTGTATGTAGATATTTCATAACCAAAGAACTTTATTTCATTTACATATTTATACATTTTTAATTAGGTAGTCCAACGATTAATTTTTTTTTTTTAACAACTGATGCTTTTTCATATTTTTTTGCAAAATAAAAATAAAATATTTCATTGACCATATCTGTGTATGTTAAAGCAAAGCATTGCATATTTTCGAGTTAATCTATTATGAATGACTCAGCAGCTTAAAGGTCACAATCATGAGCGGGCTGGACTCTTAGGAACAATTCAAAAGTTGCAAAGTTTATCGCTGAAAAATTATTGAACTCAAACAACAATATGTATTTGTGTGCTTAAGCAAACAACTAAGCTATTTTTATGAGCTTGAGCAAATAAGTAAATGAAATGACATATCGATGATCATCTGCAATAACGGCACAATTCAAAATTCAAAAAATATAAGCCCTTACTACTGTTAAGGGAGTCATGTTTCTAATTCTTATCTAATCCATGTCCAATCCCTATTAAAGTAAGTGGTAAGGATTAGACAAAGATTAGATCCATGAGCCACTTAAAAGTAGTGACAGTTTTTATTTAGGGAGTTTTGAATTATGTCGTTAGAGGACCTAAGATATGTTTGTTGTATATACAATATTTATCTAACTAAAATTGAATTTTTTTTTTGTTAATTTTAGATGAATTCAAATTGCGAAGAGATCCCCTATCTCGTTTTTTATTTATTTTAATCTGAAAATATGTGTGTATAATTTTCTCATAAAATATCGTTTGCTTTTCTATCTCTTAAGTATACCTAAGTATGTATATTTACGTAAATACATACATACATGCGTAGACATACATATACTCGTATAGTATGTATGGTAAGTGGTATTTTGTGATTCTTTTCGCATGACTGATTTCTTATATATACTTACATAAATATGTATTTGTTACAAAAAATTTATTAAATTAAAAAAAAAAAACATAAAAAACAACAAAAGTAAAGACAATTGTTTCAGCCAAGAATGGAAAATGTAAAACATAATGAAAATTATTTTTCGACGGAAAGAAGAAATATTTAATTAAATTATAATGCGTTATAGCGTCAAAATACCAACGTTTGTTTACACAAGTAAAGAAAATGAAGAAAACTTTTAAAGTATCACGTATGTCATGTAAGAAACGAGAGAGATATTGTCCAAAGGAAATAAATAAATAAATATGTAAATTCAAGTATCTTACACGAAGTGTTGACAAGCATCTTAAAATAGGCTTACAGAGCCATAATGTGTTTTTTTGTTACTGTACCACGCCTCTTTTTCAAAATTCTGCTAAGTTCGATTCGACGACTCTCGGATGTACGTTACTAAGATTTTTCACGACTTAACCTAGATCAGCAATGCGAAATGTAAACCAAAGAAACATATCACATCGAATTATTGATAGCAATCAAACAATACATCAGAGGATTTAATGTTGTGCGTGGGAAAAGTTCGGTTATTTGTACAATAATTTTTTGGTTTGGAGCGGAGGGGGACGGGATGTGTCACCTAAAATTCATTAGAAAGAGCACAGTATAAACTTTAAGAAATGTTGTCCTTCGCCTCCCTGCCTTTTCTATAGGCACTCGGGGGGCCCATTTCAAAATGGGGTAAAATTAGCAATTTCGCAAAGATAAATTTTACTAGTGTTAGGCTATGAGCAGTATTTTTGCGCAAAACTCCTTTCCGTGTTGGTGGCCTTCGGCCGCACTAGAAAAAATAACCTCATCAGTCCAACTNTGCATTTGTCCCAAACAAATTTTTTTTGTATGTTTTATTACACTAATATTATTAATTTTGAGACGAGAAACACGATTGCATTGTTTAAAAATCGACAAAAAAAATATTTAACACCTCAATTTAAATAAGGCATTTTTTATTGCATTCTTTTTATTTGCACTCGAATAACAAGTACGTTGTAGTGATATTCAAGATCTTTAATTCGAGGCATGGTAGAAACTTTTAGGCCCTCTGGGAGCCAAGTTATAACAATTTTAAATCAAACTTCGAATCTGCTGTACGAGTTTTTACTCTGAAATTAGAAAAAAATGCGTGAAATTTCGAGGTTTAATTCAGAATCATTATGATTTGGCTCTCAACGGGCCTAGAGACTTCAACTTTAGCTCAAATTAAAGGTCTTCTATAGCATTACAGCAAACTTGTTATTCGAGTGATATAAAATTGTGTGAAGGATGCATCGCTGCATACAAATCATAAAAAATGCAATATGTAATGCATTTGTTCAAATTGAGGGGTTACATTTTTTTCGTTTTTTAAACAGAGGAATCGCTTTTCTCGTCTCAAAATCTGTACTTTTAGTATAATAAAACATACAAACAATTTTTTTTGGAACAAATGCGTTGGATTTTCCATGTTTTTTTCGAAGAACACTATTTTTGACCAATTTTTTTAAGG